TAAAATTATTTTTGAATATTCAATGCCTATTTTGCTAGTGGAGTGTTGGCATATTTTGAATAAACAATGGCCCGTTGGTGTCTTGGCAGAAATGTTAAGTAGAAATGAAATAAAACCACAGCCCCATGGATTTGATTTGAGTTTTTTTAATGTGGCTCTTTTAGTGGTTGAGTTTGACACTCTTGCTTTAGGCTGACTGATAAATGAGTCTCTTTGTGTTTAGTAGTTTATATATGCTGTTTGGTGCATGTCTGTACATATTTACACATTTCTTTCATTTTATTTTTGCATTTTTTACATTTTACATTTTGTAAAACTTTTTTTACACTTTTACTTTTGACTTTTTTTTTCATACTTTGATTTTATTAATTCTCTGCCAAGTAATAAACTGGTTAAGAATTCCTTAAATATATATGTTTTGTGAGTTTGTGTTCATACTTAGAATTTTTATCCACAGCAATATTCTGTTACTCATTTGAAAAACAGTGAATCTGCTGTTAACATAATGTTGTGAAGGCCATTAAAAAGAGCAAAGTGTATAAACCTGAAGTGTCTGATTTGGGTTGAACAAAGAACAAGACCGTAAAACTCCCAATAGATGTTACCTAAAATATAATTTTAAAAGTATCATATTAATGCATAATAATATCAAAGATGTGGTCTTCAGATACAGACTGGGATCTTAGGCGCTTCTCAGTTAAATTATGCATCTATGAAGTGAAACTTCTGCATGAGTTTTTTTAGTCACTCTTTTCTTCACTGTCTTCTGACCAAATGATGTCACAAAGCAGGTAAATGGAAATTTAACCTGAACCTGTGATGCTTCAGCAGTGAGTGAATACGCTTTGAGCCCAACTGGCTTCAGATACACTGAGCTTCTGTCATTGGCTTTTGAACAGTTGAATATTCTGCTCCATCACAACTTCTCTCATGGATGTGACTCAAGTCTGGATTCTGATTCTATGTGTCTGCAACTCGAGTAAGAATTAAGAGCTTTTTACAACCAACTCTTTCTGCGCAAACTATGCATCTTTCTCAAACAGCCCCATTTGTCTTTGTTGAGCCTGGTAAAGCTGTTACTCTTCAGTGCTCACTTGAAGAAAACTCTGGAAATCTCTTTGTTTGGTACAAGCAAACAGCAGGACAGCTGCTGGGATGACAGAACCAGTTATGGGTGCCATATTTTTTTTTTATATTAGTTTTACTGAGTTCTTAACATTTACCTCAGAAAGATACTCATTTATGTGCTGCAAGTTGCTGAAACTTTAGCATTTAGCATTTTAGCTAACAAAACATAGTAACTAATAAAGCCCAGTCTGTCTTCCTCTTTGTATTTGTGCTGTTATGTCAACCTGATATTCCTGTTTGAACATGCAATTAAAATTTACATTAAAATTTAGTTTTACCGAAAACAAAAATACATACATTTTTTATATATATATTATATTTACATTTAATGCATTACATTATGTGAAATATTCATGATACTTGGACAAATAGAAATGCTCCAAAATCTCTTTACAATAGCTTGAATATAAGGAATATCTTTGTTTTATCATAATTTCCCCCAAAATTATTATGCAGTACTTTAGAGATTGTACCACACATTTACACAGTTAATATCTAGAACCTCTTTGGCATTTTATTGTAATTTAGCTAAACTGTCTTGGAATTTCCCATCATGCAACCCAAAATATTTGTCCAGTCCTTTTGGGCCCTGTACCTCACACTTACCTGGTAAATACCTAGAACTTTAGGGGCTGTCAAAGAAAGCATTATGGGACATTTTAACTTTATATATAGTATTAAAGTACATATTGTTTTAAAGTACTTTAAATGAATGTATGGATTTATAGCACAGATAATAATTGTTGTACGCCATAAATATCAGTTATTGTGTTGTGTATAAAAACTGCTTTACTATTTATTAGCATCGCAGCACTATAATATTTTATGAGGCTAAATTGTGTTTATTGATTATTATATGATTAATGCATATCTTTATAGGCTGATATAAACTATTAATTCACTACATAATATTTCCAGAATATTTTAGGTTTATTCTAGACTTGTATGACTGTTGACTGGAGGATCTTGTAGTGTGATATAAAGGTTAAGCAGTGCCAAACCACATTACTCATTCTTCAACATGGTGAAGTGCATGAAGACACTCTCCATCACCAGATACATGAAATTAACTTGAACATGAAATCACAAAAAATAGAGTAAATATGAAAAAATGGAGCACAGTTTCAAATTTTCATCACTGATGAACAACAGGAGCAAAAGTGACTAGATGTTCCAACTCCTCTTCCATTGTAGGCCTATCTCTCTCTCTCTCTCTCTCTCTCTCTCTCTCTCTCTGTCTCTCTCTCTCTTTCTTTCTTTCTCTTTCTCTCTTTTCACATTATTAACACATTAACTACAGTGAAAGACCCAGTGAAACTGATCTGTTACCTAGAATATTTTGTTACTATTTAAATAATAGAAAATTGTGTTTGTAAACAAAGTAAACAAAGCTTTTATAAAATAGTAAATGCAAGTGTATTTTGACTTCAAATCAAGTTCTTTCTCTGTGAGGTGACACTTCCTGAATAAAGGCGTTCATTGGCTGTTTCTCTATTGATGACACAGTGAGCTCATGAAGAGGCCCCCAGTGAACTTCTGTTGTTCAAATTATCTTCCATCAAGCAGCAGAAAAGACCTTCTGACTTCCTTTAAACATTTCACTTCAAATAATCCAATGTATTCTATGAAGATAACTCCCATCTGGATTCTTATTGCCAGTCTTTACAGAATAGGTTTTACAGGTTTTTTATTAATTTATTAATTGTTTCTCCTAAGTGAGTTAAATCTGACCTGAACTCATTTTGTAGGTGCTGGTCAAGCTGTAGATCTTCATCAGAAGCCATTTTTATCAGTTAAAGCTGGTGAAGCTGCTACACTTCACTGCACATTTGAGGAACACATGAGTGCAGAGCGATTGTTTTGGTATAAGCATAAACTGGGACAGACTCTTCAGCCGGTGGGAACAGTGTTAGGAGGTGAAGACATTTATCCAGAATTCAAGCAACCAGGAATGGAACTGAAGGCAAACAAGAGCAGCTTTTCTCTGAATATTAAACGTGCTACTGAAGATGATGAAGGAATGTACTTCTGTGGTAAATCTCAAGGGAATATTATTGAGTTTTCCACAGGAACTTTCTTAGCTGTGACAGGTAATCATTATATTTACATCTTTATCTGTTAATGTCAACAGTTTTAACAGTAATTTAAAAACCTTTAACAGCAGTGGGGGAAATAAAAGTCCTTTTTAACAATGAGGTCCATTTACTGTGAAGCTCAATCATATCAGTACATGAGTTTATCATGTACAGGATGATGATTGATAAACCTGCACACAGTTAGAGGAACTGAACTAGAACAGCACACAGTCCTGTTTTTTTATAGAATAAAATAGAAAAATCCTGAAAAGATTACTTATTACTCATACTCTGGGATAAGAAGTCCCCTAGTGAATCTTTCATCAATTTATCATTTAGATTTCACTGCATCATTTTCTGTCTCATGCAAAGGTTTGGGCACCGTATGTATTTATTTATTTATTTTTTTTTCCCTAAGTGAGAGCACATTCTCTACAGAGAACACACATCTGCACATTTTCATTTCCAGTATGTTAAACTCAGCAACACATCTAAATAAAAAAGCTGAAAAAAATGTTTATTCTCTGTAGAAGTTGTGTAACTTATTTTCATTTAGGAAATCAACAAAATGTAATTTGACCAGGGGACCCAAGGTTTTGCATGCAAATCCTTTTATATCATAATTTCTACTCTTTGCATTAAAATCTGTTATCACTCAAAGTATAACACAATAATATTTTATATGTTTTATATATTTTATCTATATCTTATATATTTTATAATTTTAATAAAGTATGATAAAAGACAAATGACTGTAAAATAGAAACATTTGAAATGTCAAATGTATTTATTATTATTATTTTTTTTTATTATTATTATTATTATTATTATTATAACAACAAAACAATGACATTCAACATTGAACAACAGTTTTGAGGGGTACATGATTATTAGACATGATAGAAAAGATCAGATGATGATGTAACTCTTGCCGAGCTTCAAAACTTTCATAAAAACCAGTAAGACAACTAAAAAAGTCTGATTTTAGCTAAAGGTCACTATAGTTAGCATGCTACACTAATGCCAGCTAGTCAGAGTAACTTCAGAGAAAAACTTTTTGTCTTTATAATGAAAATTAAACTAAATTATATTTTTTTCTTTCACTTCTTTTCTGTGGGGACATCTTACCCCCAAAGTCTAACTTTGTTTTCTTTAAATTTTCACTTTAAAAGAAATTCAGATCTTTTTTTCCTCTCACAAGCAAATGTTCTCTCCACATTACCTCAAAATACAGGGTGATTTAAAAAGATTCCTCGGATTTCAAAATGATTGATTTCACTTGTTCATCACTTTTTTATTTTATTTTTATTTTTAATTAATTATTTATTTACTTTCTGAGTGTAACATATTGGAAAAAATAAAAGATAAAATACTAAATATGCCACAATATGCACAGGTTATATATTATGTTTTATTTCTTCAATATTTTAAACTCAGCAAATAAAGAAACAAATTATTATGCATTAAAATGTGCAGAAGTGTTTTCTCTGTAGATGTTTTAATTATCTTATTTTCAAGTTGAAAACCAACAAAATGTCATTTGACCGGGCGCCCAAACAACAACAAAAAAAAAGGTGTGGTGAAAACAGCTCCACTTAAAAAGCTATTGTGAAGACGTTTTCTGGAGATGTGCAGAACCTGCTGTGAGACGTGTACACTGCACAAGTGTGCCAGATTATTCATTTAATTTTATATTAATATTTGATATTGATTGAAGGTGTTTATAATTTTGATCATGCATGTTCTTCAGCACAACCTCTGGATCCTGTAGTGATCTGTCTGGGAGCAGCTTTAGGAGTGTGTGTGGTTGTGATCTCTGTCCAAACCATTTTAAACTGTAAAAGGAGAAACTGTGAACACTGCAGTGGTGAGTTTTCACTACAGTCACAAAACAAAATCCTCATTTTTTCATCAAAGTGATCAATTATATGAGAAATTCTGCTGCATCCAACTCAAAAACTAGAAAACACTTTACAGTCATCTAAATTCAAAGTACAGGTAACAAGTTAAATTTGTGGTACAAACTCCAAAGTTCTGGGTATTTATTTTAGGCAACATGATAGTCAGTTTCAGCTTGTAGATATTAACTGTGTTATTGTGAGCTACAAACTCCACAGTGCTGTGCAATTATTTTGGGTAAATAATGACTACAGTACACTTTAATGCATAAGTATGCAGAGAAATGACACAGTAAAATACTCATAATTAGATATTTATTTGGAGTATAAGGTGGTAAAGAGAAACACTCAGTTAAACTGTAATGTGTCATGTTTGAGGAGTAAAGTAAATCAGACATTTCTCTGATTTCCAGGTAGTTTTATTAGGTAAACAGTATTATTTATTATATTCCTGACTGTAAACTAAATATTAAACTGAATCTGGACATTTAAATCAGTATTTTGTACTGTGGTTTTACTGGGTATTTATTATTTACATTTTTCTGATTTTTCTGATTTACTTTCCTGCTTAAATGTGTGAGATTACAATTATTATCCAGTTATTATATATTTAACTACATAATTTTTCAGCTTAATGACTGGAACTTAAGCATTTTGGTGTAAATCAGTCATAGTACTTACCTCAGTTTCATCCATAATACTTATCTAGAACATTGGAGCTCATCCAGTAAATAGCTAGAACCTGTTGGTTATTTTTAGAGTAAATCGAAGAATGATATTGAAACTCTGTCTCATGTTAACCACAATTATTACATAACACTTTGGATTGTATTGCATACTTACCTGCTTAATACCAAGAATTAAGAAGACTGTAAAAGACAATGTTACCAGAGACTATTTGGAACCCTAACCCTAAACTAACTAGTAATTAAGTCAATAAATAAATACCTGTTACAATAAAAATGCACATATGTGCACAAGTAAAAAAAAAATGGAAAAGTGTGGATTTAATACAGTTTATTCACAAAAGACTTTGATATTTTTTTCAGTATGAAAAATGAAGTGAACAATTAATGATTAATAATATATAACTAGTAATTATCTACACACATAATCTTTTTTGATCAGGTTATCTGAATTTTATAATTAATAACATTCATTTTCATTTTTGATGTTATACAGTTTTTTCAGTCATTTTACATTAATTTACAGCTACGTTCATCATTCTGGATACATTTTTTGAACTAACATGTAACACTCATTTTATACACGTGTCTGCAAACAAACTGATTCTGTGTTATTAAAAACAGTGATTCAAAACTTTTGAACGTAGTGAATGTGTGAAAATGCAGCAAACATGATGAAGATAAAGATTCTGACCTGCTTTAATTTGTAATTTTTCAGAGAAACTTAAAGTCTCAGTCAAAGAGAAGACGACCAATCAGGTACTGCTTTAATGCCATTATTACTGCCATTACATGTACAAAATCAATGATATATAAGAGCTCTTCTTTAAACTCTCATGTCTGTTACTGCAGGATGATGAAGCTGAGGAGGTGAATTATGCAGCCCTAAATTTCCATGAAAAGAAAACTAAAAGAGGAAGAGGGAAACGAGAACAGCCACAAGAAGACACTCTGTATTCTTCAGTGAGGGGCTCCTCTGTTAATGACCACAGAGTAACTCGTTAACTGTAACTTATTAATTGTAACTCATTAATTTTCTTTTACTTATTTTTAATAGAAGCGAAGCTTAGAGAAGTTCTACCTGCAGTGCATCATTATCTGCACATTCAGTGTGGTGGAGGAGGTGGAGTCAGGTACTCTGATAACAAAGAAACTGACTGAAAATAAAACCCCATGTCAGGTGTTTGTGTTTCTCAACTTCAACATAAATAGAACATCTGCTCTCATAAAAAAGCATAGTTTTAGTGATTGTGCCTAGCAATACAAAACTATCAGTGAGAGGAGAGTCTTTATGAGATGGTCAGTTGTTAGGATAAATATCTGTGTAGGGAAGATCTGTGATGAAACATTAATGCTTTATTCTTCCATGTTTTTTTATTTATTTATTTTTTTTTATTACTACATAATATTCACCTAAATTAAAGCTGTTGCTTCTTTTAATTGGACTTTTACTGAAATACTTCAGAAATGTAATTTACTTCTGTATTTGTTTACAATTTGTCAGCAATTTTGTTCATTTTCTAATACATACGGTTACATATTCCTTCTGAATATTAGAGTCAGTTTCTAATGTCAAAAAAATATTATTGTTCATGATTTTCTTTGTTATTATCCTTTAAAGGGGAATTCCACTGATTTCAATTTAGTTCTTTGATGAAGATGATAACTACTTTATAATTTTAGTTAATTAGTTACTCTGTGATTTCACAGTACATCATTATGGGGGTGGGGTGGGGGGGGTGACATTTGCTTAGTGCCATCAAAAGGCTACAGCTGGCCTTGTGCATGACTAACCTCCTCCAGGGCCGACTAACTTCATGATTATCATCCTGCTTTTTCTCTTCTTTATTAAAGGACCTGTATCCTACATTTGTCCTGTATTGTATCTTTTACCCTGAAGTCCACTTATTACACATGTATGGTTTTATGTACTAAAAGCAGTCATAGTTCATTTTTGCATGAATATTTTCCAACCTCTCTTCTTCCCTTAGAATTAAACAGGCTGTGCTTTTAAAAATGAGATATGCAAATTATCTCCATTCTAATTAGCTGCCCTGTATTGTCCCTCATACAGAAAGCAGCCCAGGCTGAAACACTCCTTATAACTTCAGCGTTAATGGACGGGGCTGATAAGGCAGATATATGTAAATGTGTTGATTTTTATAACATCACAAAAACAGTGAACAGCATTTCCATGTATGGACTTTATGGGCTGAGAGTGAAAGTTGAAACTTTAACTCTATTTATATGCGAGATCAAACTCTTTTATTAGAAAAAAGTGAGGTAAATTCAGTTTTCCATGATTTGGGCAATAAGAAATACACAGGTCACATGAAAGTAAATTTTTGCATTTTTTTACAGTGAGGTTTGGTGAAAGTTCTGGCAAAATTTAACATGAGTAGTACAAATCAAAAACCTAATTGAGAACTAAGAGCTCGCTTTTGTGGAAAATCTTAGATTGGATGGCTAATTGACTGAGTGAGTGAGTGAGCGAGTGAGTGAGCGAGTTTGTGAGTAAATGAGTGAGTGAGTGAGTGGGCGAGTGTGTGAGTGAGTTCCACAAGGTGCTTCTATAAGCTATGTTCTAAAAGCTCAACTCTAAATGGGCTGACTGTTAGAGACATTTCATATGTTACCTGTTTGAATGACTATAAGAAAGTGAAATGCTGAAAATTGAACACACTATTGACTAATGAATGTGATCATCATTGTCTTGTGAATCAGATCAATGATTATCAATTACTGTGAAAGGTCAGACAGGAAAACTGCGTCATTTGATCATAATATGACCGTTCAATAGGAGAATGTGCATAAGCTCCCTATGTGGTCAAAGCTGAGAAAATTTATTAAAGATGCTATTAATCACAAAACAGAATGAACTTGAAATCAGAATGAAATCAGACCTTTTAAAGCTCTTTTTAAATATGGACTCTGATCATCAAAGTCATGATAATACATAAAAGGGATCTTATTAAACAAGAAACACAACAGTTTACAGTGTCACACTTTTACTGAAACAAATGGTTAAAATAATATTTCTGTGAAGCCTTTCTTGTCTGGCCTGCTTCAGATCAAAGAAGTTTGATTGATGAGAATCTCTCAAAATGTGGCTGCAGGTGTGTTTATATTGTTTTTCCTATTTTTAATCTGACATTTTAAAGTTCTTGTAAGCGGACTATAATTTTAAGTCCTCTAGTTTGCCATTAGAATGTGAAAAAGGCTTGTTGTTACCAGTAGGAGGCAGTGTGAGCACTGGCTGTGCTCTGGGTATCTACTGTGGTTTCATAGTTCTTTCCTCTCAGGCAATGTATTTTGGAGGAATATGTGAGATTATTGGAGTTAAACTTGTTTTTCAAACTCCCAACTTTGATTTTTGTTGAATTCCACCTATTTTTCAAACTTTCTAAGTAATTAAATTGTTGAGATGTGAACAAAGTCCTTCAGGCTGGTTGATGTGAATTTGTTAATTTTGTTTTGGTCTGGTCTCACATGGCACAATAATAATAAGTTGACTAATGTGTTTTCTCTTGTTTGGATTATTGTAATGCATCTCTGGCATCTCCAAAAAGAGTATAGACAAACTACAGAATGTAAAGAATCAGCAGAAAGTGTTCTTACATCAACACAGGAGAGTGGCAGCACTTCACTGCCTTCATGTTCAGTAGAGAAAGTATTTTAAAGTCATTTATTTTTTTAAACTAATAATGGAATAACACCTTATCTTATATATTTCATAATATAACTGATTATGCATTATAAAGATATTTTAGATCCCGTTGTATATCACTTCACCATCAACATATTTAAAAAGATACATTTCAGGCCAAAACATCTAAAAACTGTTTGGACTTTTTTATTTGATCATGCAACATACATATTTGTTACCATTTCATGTAGTAACTTTCTGCTGGAGCTTTAAGAGGCTTTTTAATAAGAGGCCAAGGAACTTTTTGTGGCCAAACATGAATGAAAAGAAGAGGAGACAGAAAAAAAGACCCTGTGACAGACAATGAGCTTAATCTTCTGAGCCCAGCCAGCTAATACAGTGTGCTGCTGTTGTTAATTATTTCCATTCCAGGTCGTTTCAAATAAGAACAGCTTCATTTTAACACATCTTTACATCTTTACATGATATATAAGTTTATGAGGTTAAGGTTCATTTTTGGGTTTGTTGAATAACTATGCTGAAATGTCATCTGCTATTGTCTTTATCAGCTGAGCTCTGATCTGATTCTGTCTTATAGATTCTGCTCAAGCTGTGGATCTTTCTGAGGCATCATTTGTCTCAGCTGAGTCTGGTGAAAATGTTACTCTACACTGCAAATTTGTGGAAAAGTTTGCTCAAAACATTTGGGTTTGGTACAAACAAAGAGCAGGACAGGAACCTCAGGAAGTGGCAGTAAAGTTAATTACTAAAGAACTGACTATTTCATCACACAGATTCAAAATAGTCCAGCGTTTTTCTCTGACTATTGCACAAACTACTAAAGCTGATGAAGGAATGTACTTCTGTGGAAAAGGAGACAGGAGCACCATTACGTTTTTTTAGTGGCACATTCATATCAGTGAGAGGTAATAAAATTACTGTTTTGTATATATACATATACATATATATGCATATACAATCATATAGAACTTTATACATTCACAACAATCGAAAACTCATATAAAATGCTTATATAGTTTATTTTATCACACTCAATTTTTCATAAGATGTCAAGTCAATCGAATTGACACTATTATATTTCCAGTGTTTACATTGTGCTTATGTGTATGATAATATATTATGAAGCCATAAAAAGCCAACTGATTAACACAATACCCCATTTATAGTGCTACAATATTGCTGTATTTTGAAAATAATATTAGTCTTTAATAGTTTACAGCCTAATGTGTGACTGAAAAGCCAATATTCACAAAATTCTTATAATGTGTAATTTTATTGACCAGGTCAACCTCAGTTTAACATATCAGTGCTTCAAACTCCAGTACGGGGGTCAGTTTCTCCAGGAGAGTTGGTCACTCTGCAGTGCACGATCCTCTCTGAGATCAGAGCAGCAAAATTCCGAGTGCTCTGGTTCAGAGCTGCTGCAGGACAATCCTTTCCTGAAGTCATTTACACTCATCAGAACAGCAGCAGCCGTCAGTGTGAGATCAGCTCTTCTACACACAGCTCTGTGTACAACTTCTCCAAGAACAACCTCGACCACCACCATACTGGAACTTACTACTGCGCTGTGGCTGCTTGTGGGAAGATCATTGTTGGTAATGGAGCATCAATACATTTGGGTAAGCCTATTTGAGTGTTTTGTGTTGTGTACCTGTATACTTTAAATGCTACAAAGCTGTTGGCCATTGAGCAATAATGCATAATGATAAATCATGAACTCTAAATTTATTCCATATTTGACAGTATTCTAGAGCCATGCGAGCTGAATTTGTTAACTTGGATGTCATCATAAATTGGACATCATTGGAGTTACAGTGAACAGCATTTTGGTGTACAACACAAGAAATTGCATCTACATTTTTATTTCAGCATCATTTATAGATTGAACTAAAGCTCTGACCACTTTCATTACTGTTTCTTTAATGTTATTTAACACATACATGTTATTAATGTCATGGCGATGCAATAACATGTATCAGTCAGTGTTTGTTTTGAACTTATAAGAAAGTAAATATTACAGTGGTTTCATCATTTATATGCAGAGGGCCCTGTGGATCCCACTGTGTTCTATCTGGGAGCATCTTTGGGAATCTGTGTGATCTGTGCTCAAGCCATACGAAACTGCAGGGGTGAGTGTAGCTTAATCTGTTATATACATCAGAAACATGTTGATCAGATTACTGACAAACTCTGTTTTCATGATTTTCAGATAT